TCGGCACACCCCTCACACGTTTCGTGGCTCCCTAGGAAGCTCCGCCGAAAGCCCCAGTGCTGCCGCCCGCATGCGTCACGCACACCCAATTCGGCACACCCCTCACACGTTTCGTGGCCCCATAGGGAGCTCCACCGAAGGCCCCAGTGGCTGGGCCGCATGCGTCCCCACCACCCATTTCGGCACACCCCTCACACGTTTCGTGGCCCCATAGGGAGCTCCACCGAAGGCCCCAGTGGCTGCGTTCGCATGCGTCCCCACACCCATTTCGGCACACCCCTCACACGTTTCGTGGCCCCATAGGGAGCTCCACCGAAGGCCCCAGTGGCAGGTTCGCATGCCTCCCCACCACCCATTTCGGCACACCCCTCACACGTTTCGTGGCCCCATAGGGAGCTCCACCGAAGGCCCCAGTGGCAGGGTCCGCATGCCTCCCCACAACCCATTTCGGCACACCCCTCACACGTTTCGTGGCCCCATAGGGAGCTCCACCGAAGGCCCCAGTGGCAGGGTTCGCATGCCCGCCCACCACCCATTTCGGCACACCCCTCACACGCTTCGTGGCCCCATAGGGAGCTCCACCGAAGGCCCCAGTGGCGCGGTGCCTATGAGAAGAGGGGCCTAGTTTGCGTGGCCCCCTCTTCGTCCCATATCCGTGCGGTACTCGCAGCTGCATATGGTTGGGTCCTTCGCCAGGCTAATTATTTGTAGACATGGAGCGGCCACAGACGGGGGCAACGGGACCGCCGGGGTGGCGCACGGGCCCAATTCCTTAAATAGGAAGTAGGACCCCCCAAGTCCAACCAGCCCTCTGGGCGTAGGTGGTCTAGGGCGTTTCCTCTTCCACCACTCCCTCCTCCCCTTCGGGGAGGGATTCACCCCTCCCCCATTACCCCCTCCCCTGGACCTAGACGGGCGGTGCCGCGACCCATTGGAGTGATCGAGATGGCTCGAAGTGGCTCCAACAGGGCCTCGGAGAGCCCAAAATAACCTCCAAGCTGGCTCAAGATGGCACTTGATGGCTCCCAAGCTGCTCCGAGAGGCCCCAAGACCGTTCCAAAATGGTTCCAAGTGGCCACGGAGTCTCCCACGGAGGCCCCCAAGAGGCCAACACACTTCCAAAACCAATGGGAATCAATGAATTTGGCCGTCTCGCCATTTTGCTTTCGATGGCCTTCCGAGGCTTCAAGATCGCGCTAAGGCGGCCCAACCCCACGCCCCAAGAGCGCCCCAAGAGCGTTCCAAGAGGGGCCCAAGAGGCGATTTTAGGCAGTTTCAAAAGGACGAGGCTAATTGAAGCTCCTCCCATATTCGATCGGTGCCCTCCAACATGGCCCCAAGAGCACCCCAAGGCTCCCAAGAACGCCCCCAAAGGGCCCCAACAGGCGTCCAGAAAACCTCCAAGAGGCTCCCACGAGACCCCCGAAAGGCTCCCCGAGGCGCCCCAAATGCCCCCAAGACCGCCAAAAGGCCCCCAAGACGCCCCAAGAGGCCTTCAAGTTCGCCATGTTCCTCCTCAGGCCAGAGGCACTCGCCGCCGCTCGGAGAATCCCTGCTTCATCACATCATCAACGCCATCATTTGCATATGTCTCATCATCCCCCGCCCTCCCTCATCGATCTATCCTCCTCCTTGTCTTCTTCCTCCTCCTGCGAACGATAACGGCTGCCCCCCTCTTTGCTCCTACACTTCCCATCTCACATCTACTCGCCTGGGCGTCGTTTCTACTAGCCCCGGCGTCGTTTTTTTGATGGGCTGGTGGGGATACGTTTTGATCGCGACCGCGGCACGAGATCGGGCGGCGTCAAGGGGCGAAGCACAAGAGGCGATCGCCTAAATTAGCGCACTGGAAGAAGGCGGAAAGGCAAGACAAAGCAAGGGGGGAGGCTAACTGAAGGCGAGCCTCGCTGCCGCTCACAAGAGAGCGCACGCCAGGAAATCCTTCCGGGCACGCTCGTGGGGATTTTTTCCCAACCATCCTGTGGTGTTGGGTCCTCGTTTTGAGACGGTGCCCCGCGTTCTCCTTCCTCCCGCTGCCTCCTCCTCCTCCCCCTCCTCCTCCCTCCTCCCCCTCTTCCTTGATTTCACCCACCCAGTACAGCGTTTCGTAGCCCCATAGGGAGCTCCACCGAAGGCCCCAGTGCTGCCGCCCGCATGCGTCACGCACACCCAATTCGGCACACCCCTCACACGTTTCGTGGCCCCATAGGGAGCTCCGCCGAAGGCCCCAGTACTGCCGCCCGCATGCGTCACGCACACCCAATTCGGCACACCCCTCACACGTTTCGTGGCCCCATAGGGAGCTCCACCGAAGGCCCCAGTGCTGCCGCCCGCATGCGTCACGCACACCCCATTCGGCACACCCCTCACACCCATAGGGAGCTCACACGTTTCGCACATAGGAGCTCCCCGAAGGCCCCAGTGCTGCCGCGCATGCGTCCGCACACCCAATTCGGCACACCCCTCACACGTTTCGTGGCCCCATAGGGCTCCACCGAAGGCCCCAGTGCTGCCGCCCGCATGCGTCACGCACACCCAATTCGGCACACCCCTCACACGTTTCGTGGCCCCATAGGGAGCTCCACCGAAGGCCCCAGTGCTGCCGCCCGCATGCGTCACCGCACACCCAATTCGGCACACCCCTCACACGTTTCGTGGCCCCATAGGGAGCCCACCGAAGGCCCCAGTGCTGCCGCCCGCATGCGTCACGCACACCCAATTCGGCACACCCCTCACACGTTTCGTGGCCCCATAGGGAGCCCCACCGAAGGCCCCAGTGCTGCCGCCCGCATGCGTCCCGCACACCCAATTCGGCACACCCCTCACACGTTTCGTGGCCCCATAGGGAGCCCCACCGAAGGCCCCAGTGCTGCCGCCCGCATGCGTCACGCACACCCAATTCGGCACACCCCTCACACGTTTCGTGGCCCCATAGGGAGCCCCACCGAAGGCCCCAGTGCTGCCGCCCGCATGCGTCACGCACACCCAATTCGGCACACCCCTCAGACGTTTCGTGGCCCCATAGGGAGCCCCACCGAAGGCCCCAGTGGCGGCGCTTTCATGCGCATGCGTCCCGCACACCCATTTCGGCACATCCCTCACAGGTTTCGTGGCCCCATCATCCACCGGAGGCACCAGTGGCGGCGCTCACAGGCGTCACCCACACCCACCCAATTCGGCACACCCCTCACACGCTTCGTGGCCCCATAGGGAGCTCCACCGAAGGCCCCACCGGCCGCGCTCACATGCGTCCCCGCCACCCATCCCGGCACGCCTCTCACAACAACAGGTTTCGTGGCCCCATGTGGAGCTCCACCGAAGGCCCCAGTGGCACCGCCCGCATGCGTCACCACCCGCACCCAATTCGGCACACCCCTCACACGTTTCGTGGCCCCATAGGGAACTGCACCGAAGGCCCCAGTGGCGGCGCTCACATGCGTCCCCGCCACACATCCCAGTACACCCCTCACGCGCTTCGTGGCCCCATAGGGAGCTCCACCGAAGGCCCCAGTAGCGGCGCTTACATGCGTCTCCGCCACCCATCCCGGCCCCCCCCCCCGCAGCAGCATCATGTTTCGGGGACCCATAGGGAGCTCCACTGGAGGCCCCAGTGGCGGCCCTCACATGCGTTTCCGCCACCCATGTCGGCACGCCCCGCGCGTGTTTCATGTCCCCATAGGGAGCTTCGCCGAATGCCCCAGTGGCACCCATCTCGGCACACCCCTCACACGTTCCGTAGTCCTATGGGGAGTTCCACTGAAGATGAAACCCGCAGCTGCGGTACTGACAACTGCATATGGTTGGGTTCTTCGCCAGGCTAATTTTTTCCCGCGGCCGCAAGCGGAAGCGCAGGCGGCGTCCGAAGTCAGCCCGGGCTGCGAGCCAAACCTAATTACCTAAGCGCGCGAACTAACGGCCGCCGAAACTGCCGCCGAAGGACGCCGAGAAGCGACGCCGGGGACTGAAGGCAGAGCTGCAAGAGGTGCCGGGTGTGCCAGGTGGCTGAAGTGCAACCATTCCAGGGGCGAGACCACCAGGAAGGCAAACGAATTGCACCCTGTCGCGCCAGGCGCCAAAAGTAAACGAGCCACCCGAGCAAGGCACGGCATAGCGCGGGGCTCAGCAAGCAACCCAACGTACCAGTGTCGCATGCCAACAGTGGCAACCTCAGGTGGTTGAACAAGAAGCCGAAGCTGGTGGGGACACGCGAAGCGTGAAGACTTCAAACGCTGTTTGGGACATGTATTTCTCGCCGTAATGCTGCGCACATTCGTCCTAAAAAAATTCAGCAATCTCACTGATGGAAGGCGTGTCGTTTTCAGAATGTGTCTCTCGCTTGGCGCAGCGCGCAGTCCGCTTAAACTATGCAGCTGTCTCAAGAATGGAAGGCGGGCTCATTTCATGCTGTGGCTCTCGCCCAAGCGCCGCGCGCATTCGCCTTACCTGCTTGATTTGCATTGTGAAGTGTTCGTATGGCTGAAAGCCCAGGAGTGGCGTTCTGGAACGACCAAGCACTGCCAGGGCCAAACTGTCACGCTGCCTCGCGGTGCTGAATTCCCAGGAGCCGTGTCATCGCACGAGTCAGGGCCGTCGGGGCGCAACAGTCATGTTGACCCGCAGCGTTGCAGTGCTGGGAGCTGTGTTGTCTGACGAGCGCGCTGCTGGCTTCGAGAGGGCCCCTTCCCGCCGTGAAAATGATTCCTCCTAGGGACCAATCAAGCGGGACTTCAGTAGGATTGTATTTTGGAACGCCGTTCATACGTGGTGGGTTCGCATTTAAAACAGGGCTAGGATCGGGATAAATCGCTCCAGAGCGTTCCGGAGCGCTCTCAGAGCGTTCCGGAACGCTCTGGAGCGGCCGCGGCGCCCAATACATCCTCCAAACCCGCCGATTCTCAGAGATTTCGAGTTATCCCGATCCGATTTTGTCCCGATCTTCGCGTCGTTTTAGCATTGGCCCCCCACCTCCTCCTCATAATCCTCCCTGGCTGGCAGGGCGCCTGTGGCGCCAACTCCGCTCTCCTTTCCAGCACCTGCGCCGGCAGCGCGCCCAGGTGCGGCTGCGGCAGGGCCGCGGCGTGCCTTGGGGGCAACAGATCTGTTCTCTCTGTCTCTCGTTCTCTAGTTACGTGTTTATCTCTCTTCCTTTCTTCTCTCTCTCTCTCTCTCTTCTCCCTCTCTCTCTCTCTCTCTCCCTCTCCCTCTCCCTTCGCTCGCTCTCTCTCTCTCTCTCTCTCGTTGTTGATGTGTTCTCTCTCTCTTTCTCCCTCTCTCCTTTGGCACTTCGATGGAGGAGGAAGAGGGGCGGGGGAGGAGGAGGAGGAGAAAGGGATGGGGAGGGGGGGGGGAGGAAAAGGGAAGGGAGGCAGGAGGAGGCCGCACGGCAAGCCCCTCCACGGCCGCGGGCCATCGTAAGGGCACCCGACGCGATCCCGTCCTCCTCCTCCTCCTCCTTCTTGTCCTCCTCCTTTTCCTCCTCCTTGTCCGCTTCCTCCTCATCATCCTCCTCCTCCTCCGCAGCAGCCGTTCTGGCTCGCGATTGCAGCAGCATTCCTCAGAGCGGCAGTCGTTGCTGCGTGCCCAATGTTGGCTACAATCTTTCGCGCGCTTCTGCAGAGGCAGTTCACGGGTCCTCGCGGGCAATGCATGGCCAATGGCGGAGGTGGTGTCGGAGACATTCTGGCGGGCCCCCGCATGCCCACCTGGGCGTGCTCCCATCGCGGGAGGAACACGGAGTGGGCTTCCAGGATCGTGTGCAAGTGCGGCGAGCGAGCCCCTGGTGACGTTGCTCGACGTGCTCGCGAGCGTGCTGCAGCTGCTGGGCGCGATCGTCTTCCGCGCGAGGCGCCATCTCGTCAGCATGGCGCGCGTGGGCGCGACCCGATCCAGCAGAAGCTCGACGCGCTGCAGAAGCGGTTCGATGCACTGGTGGCCAGTGGCGGAGGAAGCGGCTATTCATCTACTACGGCTGCCAACAATGGAGGGGCAAAACTTTCGGAACAAGACCTGCCCAAAGGGAAAATCCATTAGTTCGAGGTGCCGATGTCATAATGTAAGACACTCCCAGGGGATGCTGGCAAATAAACATGTGTGTATTTGGAAATTAAAGAAACAGCTGGGCGAGACCAAGAAGGCCTCGGCTGCGACCAAGCCAGGACTCACTCAACGCGCGAACATCGGTCACAGGCTCACGCGGGCTACGACAAAAAAGCAAAGTTGGAGCAGTCCGTCGCTGAGCAGTTGGAGATCATGCGTGCGGCCGAAGAGTGGTGGTTGAACTGCGAGTTCAAATCAAAACAACCGATGAAGAACATGTGGCTCTTAACCGTGAATGTCCCACTACACGTCCTGTCTGTTTCCCCGACCGTGCCCCTCAAGGTCGATCAGACGGCCTTGGACAGGCAGCAAGTGGCTGCCCTCAGGGCGTTCATGGGGTCGGACGCGGTCAAGCTAATCACCGAAGTCCTCGGCGAGAGCGCCAAGGCTAAGCAGGCGACGAAGCTCGAGACAGCACCGCCCCCCTTCGCGGCTGGCGGCGGTGGATCCGGCACTCCTCCTGGCCGCGGCGGCGGCAGCTCCAGTGGCACAGGAAGCGAGAACATGCGAGTCCCTGATGACATGGACCTCTTAAAACTCGACCTCACCACCGATGACATCTCGGCTGCGGCCAAGGTGGGAGACATGAACGAGGCCACCTTCACTGTGCGCCTCGGTCACACACTGCGACGCGTCATGCAACGCGTTTAGCAAGATGCCCTTGTGTTGTGGGCTTAGGGTTTCTACATTCTGAGTTCCTGCTCCACCTCCGCCTGACCCCGCTACTTCCAAACCGCTGCCCCCGCAGCTTGATGGCCAGGGCAGCTGCGCGGAGACTTCTGATGGCAACGGTTGGCCGACGCTCCGAGAACGATTGCGAATTCCCTCGACGAACATCCTGCTGGCACATGAGGTCGGCTTCCTCCGGGGCCGAGAGAGGGGAAAGAGCAAGCTCGGCGGGGCCAAGGGTGGAACATGCTCTCGTCCCCTTCCTTCTCTGGTGAGGCTGGCCGAGCCAGGGCGGGGGCGGCAGTCTTCGTTCGCTCGAACCTTGGCCTCAGATGGCCGGCGGATTGCACGGGCATCTTGGCCCCTGGGCGTTCGATGCGCGTCGTCGTCGGTAGCCCTGGTGAAAAGGGGCGCGTCAGTTGAACATCCGTTTGCTTCGCCTCCTCGGAGAGGCTCGACTCCAAACGCATGTTCCTCGTCGTATGTAACTGGGGCCTCGGTCACAGCTTAGTTGATGTTTCTTGGGTTGTTAGGCGCGCGGGTGGAGCTGTGTTCGTTCCTAGCCAGACAGCATGCCTCTCCCCTGCGAGTCCGACGACCATCGACTATTTCCTCGCCAGCACCAGCTTTGCAAAAGCTTGGGAGGGGGCCTAACCGAACATGGGCCGGGCCCGTCGCCCACGGATCCGCTGATTTGACTCTCGAAGCTAATGCGGTTAGGTGTTGGCAGCTGACTCATCGTTCCCACCAGCGCTTGTCCACTTTTCACTGCGCCGACCTTGCAGACGTGCCGCAGCGGGGGGATGCCTCGGTTTCTGCCAGTGCAAAACCCCGAAAGGCAAGCGAAAAATTAAATGAAATTCACGTGGGTTTGTTGTAGTATTCAATCCTGGCCAATGAAAACCGCGCGAAATTCACATCGAAATCGGGGGCGAAATTCTCCGGGACAGCCCGGGACAACCTTATGATTTTTCCCAACCATCCTGTGGTGTTGGGTCCTCGTTTTGAAGAAACGGTCCCCGCGTTCTCCTCTTCTCTCTTCTCCTCCTCCCCCTCCCCCCTCCTCCCCCTCAGCGTCAGCCACACCCACTCGGCACACCCCTCACACGTTTCGTGGCCCCCCAGGAGCTCCGCCGAAGGCCCCAGTGCTCAGCCACCCACCCACTTCGGCACACCCCTCACACCCCTCGAACAGTGCTGCCGCCCGCATGCGTTCGTCGGCACACCCCTCACACAGGAGCTCCGCCGAAGGCCCCAGTGCTGCCGCCCGCATGCGTCACCCACACCCACTTCGGCACACCCCTCACACGTTTCGTGGCCCCATAGGAGCTCCGCCGAAGGCCCCAGTGCTGCCGCCCGCATGCGTCACCCACACCCACTTCGGCACACCCCTCACACGTTTCGTGGCCCCATAGGAGCTCCGCCGAAGGCCCCAGTGCTGCCGCCCGCATGCGTCACCCACACCCAATTCGGCACACCCCTCACACGTTTCGTGGCCCCATAGGAGCTCCGCCGAAGGCCCCAGTGCTGCCGCCCGCATGCGTCACCCACACCCAATTCGGCACACCCCTCACACGTTTCGTGGCCCCATAGGAGCTCCGCCGAAAGGCCCCAGTGCTGCCGCCCGCATGCGTCACCCACACCCATTCGGCACACCCCTCACACGTTTCGTGGCCCATAGGGAGCTCCACCGAAGGCCCCAGTGCTGCCGCCCGCATGCGTCACCCACACCCAATTCGGCACACCCCTCACACGTTTCGTGGCCCCATAGGGAGCTCCGCCGAAGGCCCCAGTGCTGCCGCCCGCATGCGTCACCACACCCAATTCGGCACACCCCTCACACGTTTCGTGGCCCCATAGGGAGCTCCACCGAAGGCCCCAGTGCTGCCGCCCGCATGCGTCACGCACACCCAATTCGGCACACCCCTCACACGTTTCGTGGCCCCATAGGGAGCTCCGCCGAAGGCCCCAGCGCTGCCGCCCGCATGCGTCACGCACACCCAATTCGGCACACCCCTCACACGTTTCGTGGCCCCATAGGAGCTCCGCCGAAGGCCCCAGTGCTGCCGCCCGCATGCGTCACGCACACCCAATTCGGCACACCCCTCACACGTTTCGTGGCCCCATAGGAGCTCCGCCGAAGGCCCCAGTGCTGCCGCCCGCATGCGTCACCCACACCCAATTCGGCACACCCCTCACACGTTTCGTGGCCCCATAGGAGCTCCGCCGAAGGCCCCAGTGCTGCCGCCCGCATGCGTCACCCACACCCATTCGGCACACCCCTCACACGTTTCGTGGCCCCATAGGGAGCTCCACCGAAGGCCCCAGTGCTGCCGCCCGCATGCGTCACCCACACCCAATTCGGCACACCCCTCACACGTTTCGTGGCCCCATAGGGAGCTCCGCCGAAGGCCCCAGTGCTGCCGCCCGCATGCGTCCCGCACACCCAATTCGGCACACCCCTCACACGTTTCGTGGCCCCATAGGAGCTCCGCCGAAGGCCCCAGTGCTGCCGCCCGCATGCGTCACGCACACCCAATTCGGCACACCCCTCACACGTTTCGTGGCCCCATAGGAGCTCCGCCGAAGGCCCCAGTGCTGCCGCCCGCATGCGTCACCCACACCCAATTCGGCACACCCCTCACACGTTTCGTGGCCCCATAGGGAGCTCCGCCGAAGGCCCCAGTGCTGCCGCCCGCATGCGTCACGCACACCCAATTCGGCACACCCCTCACACGTTTCGTGGCCCCATAGGGAGCTCCGCCGAAGGCCCCAGTGCTGCCGCCCGCATGCGTCACCCACACCCATTTCGGCACACCCCTCACACGTTTCGTGGCCCCATAAGGAGCTCCGCCGAAGGCCCCAGTGCTGCCGCCCGCATGCGTCACGCACACCCAATTCGGCACACCCCTCACACGTCTCGTGGCCCCATAGGGAGCTCAGCCGAAGGCCCCAGCGCTGCCGCCCGCGTGCGTCACGAACACCCAATTCGGCACACCCCTCGCACGTTTCGTGGCCCATAGGGGGCTCCGCCGAAGGCCCCAATACTGCCGCCCGCATGCGTCACGCACACCCAATTCGGCACACCCCTCACACGTCTCGTGGCCCCAAAGGGACCTCCACCGAAGGTCCCGGTGGGTGTGCCCGCATGCGTCCCGCACATTCATTTCGGCACACCCCTCACACGCTTCGTGGCCCCATGGGGAGCTCCACCGAAGGCCCCAGTGCTGCCGCCCGCATGCGTCCCGCACACCCATTTCGGCACACCCCTCACGCGTTTCGTGGCCCCATAGGGAGCTCCGCCGAAGGTCCCAGTGGGTGTGCCCGTGAGACAGGTGAGCATATTTCGCACAGTAGGTTTTGCATTTAGAGTTGTGTGAAGTTTCCTGTCACTGTTATCCGATTTGGCTCAAGGGAAAATCATTTACTGCCCCTGCTGCTGCCACAGTTGGTAGCGGAGCCTGGTTCCCGGCCGGGGGGGCCCATGGGTGGCGCGGCGCGGCCTTGAGGGCCACGGCCAGACGCTGCTCGAGTGCCTCCGGCCGCGGGCCGGGCTCGCGCCGACGGGGCGGCGCGGACAGCGGAGATGCCCGCAGACGACGAGGGCTTCATAGGAGCCGTCATCGGTGGTGGTGGTGAAGAGTCGGCGACCGCTGCATCAGGAGCAGCGGAGGCGGGACAGATGACAGTGACGAAGGAGCAGCTCAGGGACTTGATCTCGGGGATGGTCCGAGAGACCATGAGCGCCGCGGGGGGGCCCCAGACGGCCAAGCCTGAGCAGCCACAGGCTACTGCCGAGGGCCGACAAGATGATCCATGGCAAGCAGCAGCAGCAGCAGCAGCAGCAGCAGCAGCAGCAGTAGCAGATTGGCGCCAGGACAGCTGGTGGCGAGACGGCGAGTGGCGGCAGCCCGACCACAAGCGCGCCGAGGCCGACCAGCATGACGCCTGGCAGGACTACAGCAAGGACAGCTGGAGCGCAGGCTGGGGCCAGCGCGACGGTTGGTACTCCGGCAGCTGGAGTGGAGGAGGAGTCAAGGGTGATTTCTCAGATCCTCCGGCGTGGCCGGGGTGGACGCACTATAGACAATGGCGGA